ACTTCCAGCAGTGCACGAGCGTCGGCTGGGCTGCGGTGGTGCTGCAGGAGGGCGCGGACGCCTTCCGCACTGGCATCTCGGGCGCGCTGTGCGAGCCCTTCGCCGATATCAACGGCGGCGAGTTGGCTGCGCTCATCGGCACGCTGCGCCATGCAGCGCCGCCCGTCAGGGCCATCGTCGACTCGAGCTTCGTGCTCAAGGGTGTGCTGGAGCACGGGCCGCTGAACACGACGCGCTGGGGCTACGCGTGGGCCCACCTCTGGCGCGAGCTCTGGCGGCTCGTCGAGGACTTCGGGGGGGTAGGCCCGCAGGGCCTGACCCTCAAGAAGGTCCCTGCGCACGTCTCGCGCCGCCGAGTGGTCGACGACGGCGTCATCACCGCGCGCGACTGGATCGGCAACAGCATCGCTGACCAGGCCGCGAAGCGCGCGGCCGAGCGCGCGAGAGTCGCGCCCGAGGCCCGCCAGCGCCTGCAGTCGGCACGGGAGCTGGTCGAGGGCGTGGCCTTGTGGGTCTCCGCGGTTGGGGCCGCCGCGGGCATGGGCGACGCCGCCCACCGCGCGGCGAAGCCCAACGAGGTGGCCCCGCGAGCAGCGCTGCAGCCCGTGGCTGCCAGGCTCGGCTGCGACCTCCGCGGGCCGCCTGGGGCGCGATGGTGCAGCAGGTGCCGCTGGACGGAGCGCGCCAGCGAGTGCCCTGGCTCGATTGTGGCGTCCGCCCTGGGCCGCAATAGGAGGCTGCGGACACAGGGCGCTCTGGCGCACGTGATCGCGAAGATCGAGCCGCAGGTCGAGGCCCAGCTGCTGCGCGAGATGCCGCTGCCGGCCTGCCTCGTCTGCGGGGCCACGGGCGCGGCGAGGAGCTCGTCATTTGCCCGCGCCTGCGGGGAGCCCGGGGCCAAGGGCAAGCTGGCGATTGCCCGCCTCGCCAAAGGCTTCGCGCCAGGCGTCGCTGGCCGAGTGGCCGTCAGGATGGAGCAGCTCGGCGACGACGACCTGGACTCCTTCGGCGCCGCCCTGGACGGGCCGCTCCCTGCGGCGCGCGAGGGGGGAGGTGCTCCCGTATCCCCTCGTGGCGCCCTCGGTTGCGGCCGCGGCTTCGGGGGCGACGCGGAGCTCTTCGGCGGCGTCCTGGACGGGCCGCTGCCCTGAGGCGCGCGCGGGGGGAGGTGGCCCCACATCCCCGCGTTGTGCCCTAGGCGGCGGCCACTACTGCCAGTTCGTCGCGGTCTCCCTCGACGAGCTCGCGCGGGTCTTCCCGACCCTGGCCCCGCGCGTTGGGGCGCGGGCGGGCCGCCCGTCCGCTCGACAGCGCGGTCGGAAGCTCGCGGATCCTCCTCCTCCTCCTCCTCCTCCTCCCCTGGCCTCGGGCGTGGCATCGCTCGGACGTGGGCATTTCTCTTTCGGCGAGGACCCTCGAGGGGCATCCTGGATCCTCTGGCGGCAGAAAAGTCCACGCACGAGACCGAACAAAAAAGCACAGGGAAGGGACGCCCGAGCGACGGCGAGCAGGTGCCCCCCCCGGCCTTCCCTGCGGTGCCCCCTTTGGGCGCCCTCTGGGCTTCGTGCGCCGGGGCGCTCCGGGGGGGGGGGCCGCGGGGGCCTCCGCGGGGCAAGCCTGGCGGTGCACCCCTCGGGCCACGGGCACTGCTGGCGGCCACCGGCTCCTCGGCATCGCTCGGGCGTGTGCACGTCTGCTGGCCGCGCGCAACGAGGGTCGGGGGAGCGTAAGACCCGGGTTTGCCGGGACTCGGGTTCGCCATCGTTTTTTGACGACCGCGACTCGGATTTTGACGAGGAGGAGTTTTGTGGGATGTTTGCAGCGGGAGGCCTCGTCAAAATGCAGGCTCGGCCTCGTCCTTTTTTTGACGACCTCGTCGGGGATTTCCGAGTCCCCCGCACCCGGGTCTTACGTCTCCCCGAGAGGGGGGGGGCAGCGGGAGGCGGGAGGGCTTCTTGGAAGCGCCCCTGCCGCCCAGACGCGCGAGCTCGTCTTCGGCCGCGCCCCCTGCCCCACGTCGTGCGCGCCGCCGAGACGTGTGTGCACTCGGCTCCCTGCGAGGCGAGCGCCAGAAGGTCTGGGCCATCTTGGAGCATCCACGTAGAGGAACAAAGACGAGCACGCAACCAGACAGTGCACAGGGACTGGACGTCCGAGCGATGGCAAGTCCCCGACGATGTGAGTTTCGTTCTCATCCATCCTGTGTTGTTGGGTCCTCGTTTTGAAGAGACAGCGCCCCGCGTTCCTCTCCTCTCCTGTCCTCTCCTCTCCTCCTCCCCCTTCTCCCTACTCCCTTCCTTGCCTCTGCCCTCCGCATGTATCTGTTTCGGCGCACACCTCACACTTCTCGTGGCCCCATAGGGAGTTCCACCGAAGGCCCAATTGGCAAAGTTCGCATGGCGGCCCCGCCCTATTTCGGCGCACCCCTCACACGCTTCATGGCCTCATGGGGAGCTCCACCGAAGGCCCCAGTGGCAAAGTTCGCACGGCGGCCCCGCCCCATTTCGGCGCACCCCCCCACACGCTTCGTGGCCCCATGGGGAGCTCCACCGAAGGCCCCAGTGGCAGCGTTCGCATGGCGGCCCCGCCCCATTTCGGCGCACCCCTCACACGTTTCGTGGCCCCATGGGGAGCTCCACCGAAGGCCCCAGTGGCAAAGTTCGCATGGCGGCCCCGCCCCACTTGGGCGCACCCCTCACACGTTTTGTGGCCCCATAGGGAGCTTCACCGAAGGCCCAAGTGGCAAAGTTCGCACGGCGGCCCCGCCCCATTTCTGCGCACCCCTCACACGTTTCGTGGCCTCATGGGGAGCTCCACCGAAGGCCCCAGTGGCAAAGTTCGCATGGCGGCCCCGCCCCATTTCGTCGCACCCCTCACACGTTTCGTGGCCCCATGGGGAGCTCCACCGAAGGCCCCAGTGGCAACGTTCGCACGGCGGCCCCGCCCCATTTCGGCGCAGCCCTCACACGTTTCGTGGCCCCATGGGGAGCTCCACCGAAGGCCCCAGTGGCAGCGTTCGCATGGCGGCCCCGCCCCGCCCCATTTCGGCGCACCCCCCGACACGCTTCGTGGCCCCATCTGGAGCTCCACCGAAGGCCCCAGTGGCAAAGTTCGCATGGCGGCCCCGCCCCATCTCGGCGCACCCCTCACACGCTTCGTGTCCCCATGGGGAGCTCCAGCGAAGGCCCCAGTGGCAAAGTTCGCATGGCGGCCCCGCCCCATTTCTTCGCACCCCTCACGCGCTTCGTGTCCCCATGGGGAGCTCCACCGAAGGCCCCAGTGGCAGCGTTCGCATGGCGGCCCCGCCCCATTTCGGCGCACCCCTCACACGCTTCGGGTCCCCATGGGGAGCTCCAGCGAAGGCCCCAGTGGCAAAGTTCGCATGGCGGCCCCGCTCCATTTCGTCGCACCCCTCGCACGCTTCGTGGCCCTCCACCGAAGGTCCCGCTGGCAGGGTTCGCACGGCGCCGCCGCTACCAATTCGGCACGCCCGCACACGCCTTTCGTGGCCCCATGGGGAGCTCCGCCGAAGGCGGGGCTCACAGCTGCGGTGCTCACAATTGCATTGGTTGGGTTTTTCTCGAGTCTTTCGCCAGGATAATTCAATCCCGTCGCTGTCCCTCGATTCCGGCCTTGGGGCCCGTCATCGGGCCCCGGGGCCGCGCTGTCCCCAGGGAAAAAAGATCAGGACCTTTGGGGGGGACCTCTGGGGGGGGACCTCTGGGTCTGGGGGGGACCTCTGGGGGACCTCTGGGGGACCTCTTGGCCTCTTGGCCCCATGGGGGCCTCTTGGGGGACCTCTGGGGGGGACCTCTGGGGGGGACCTCCTGGGGAACCTCTGGGGGGACCTTTTGGGGGACATCTGGGAGGGACCTCTTGGGGGACCTCAGGGGCCGCGGATGAGAAAAACACGCTGTCGGGTGTATGGGGGCGTCGAATGAGGCGTCAGCCGAAATCGGGTCAGATGTCACCTTGTCGGACGAGCGAAACGAGGCGGACGAGAGCGGGAGCGGGAGGAAGGAGGAACCTTCCCGCCTCCCCTAATTACCTCCTGCTCCTCCTCTCCTCCATCCTCCCCTTCCTCATTCTCTACCTCCTCCTCTTCCTCATTCTCAACCTCCTGCTCCTCCTCCACGTGCGCCGGCGCCGCGAGCGCAGGAACCCCGAGGCCCGCGCGCTGCGGCTTTCTCCGCACCAGGTGGTGTCGCTCGGCTTCACTTCCTCAGGAGGTGCGGTGGCCACACCGAGGTGGTCAGTCAGCACGTGCTCGGGGCGACCGCACGGTGTCAGAACTCGGGTCGTTCTCCGAGGATGCCTCGGGAGGCCGGGCCTGCCAAGGACCGTGCGGTGAAGGTTCTGGGCGTTCCGAGGTCACCGCGCGGTCGTCACCGCACCGTCTCCAGAACCCCCGCGCGGGCCCCCGGACCCACAGATCCTTGCGAGTCGAGAAATGCGGCAGAGAGGTGGGGTCCAGGGCTCGGGTCATGATTTGTCGCAGTGCTCTTTTCCCATCCCTGCTATGGAGTTGGGTCTTCGTTTTGAGATCGCAGCGCCGCGCGTCTGCGTCCCTCCTCCCTCCTCCTCCCCCTCATTCCTCCATCATCATCATCATCAGTAGCATCAGCATCACCATCATCATCATCATCATCATCATCATCATCATCATCATCATCATCATCATCATCATCATCATATCTTCATACTATTGCTACTATTATTATTCTTATTGTAACTACCATTACTTTTATTATCGTAGTATTACTCATATCAGCATTATTATTAGTATTATTACTACTACTACTAGTATTACTACTATTAATGTTTTGATATTACTATTAGTAGCATCGCGATTCTTAGTACTACTATTAGTCCACTTCTTCATCCTCATCATCCCCATCCATCATCAGCAGCATCAGCATCATATCATCAGCAGCATCATCATCATGATCCGTAGCCATTTTGACTCTAGCTAGCTGGCTCGAGCTCGCTTAGGTCAGCAAATGGCGCGGGATCGCGTCGCCGCCGCCTCCGGGTGATGGCTGCGAGGAGCCGGCGCCCTGGCGAGGCGCCGCGCGTCCTTCGAGGAGCCGAGGGGGCGCGTACCTCGGCAGACTTGGTGAGGCGCGTGAGCCTGGAGCTGGAGGCTGCCCGCACGAAGTGCGCGAGGCTGCGGGCAGTGTTGGACCAGCGGGCTGCATGGGGTGAAGGCGGCGTCGAAGCAAAGGCTGCCCGCCGCGAGGCTCTAGCCAGGTCCTCCCTGGTGGCGAGGCTCAGCGGCGCGCCCGAGAGCGGTGGGAAGCGCTTAGTGCGGAATGTCTCGCTGCATGCGAAGCGTTGCCCGCAGGCTGGGGCTCCCTGGTCGGAGTGAAAGGCTGCGCAGCGCGAAGGCCGCCTGCCTGGTGGATCCGTTGCAACAATAATGAAGTGCGATGTCGAGTGCGAGGTCATGATCTGCGAAAAGGAGGCGTCGGGTCGAGAAACTGCACGTGGAGCCGCAGGCCGAGGTGCTGCGGCCTGGCGAGTAGCAGGCGTTCAGCGAGAAGCACGTCATGTGGGGAGCTGGGGCTTTCGTGGATGGCCTCGCGGCGGGGTGGCGCCTTGCCGAGGCGTGCCCGCCATGCGACGTCGGGGTGCTGATGTATGAGCGGGGAGTGGCGGCCGCGAGGACCCCGCTGCGGTCTTGCGCCAAGCCGTACCTCAGTGAGAACGCAGCCGAGGCCTGCTTGCCCGAAGCGGGCGCTGGAGCTGCGGAGGCCCGCAGGGCCACGGCTGGCGCGGTGCCAGGACTGGCTCGGGACATTCCTGTTCTGTACTTGCTGGAGGCGGAAGCCGAGGCGGGCGGCCCAGGAGCCGCCGCTGCTCCTTGCCCCGCCGGCCGGCGGCTCGGAGGCCGCCACGGCCTGTGCAGCCGCGCCGACGGCTACCGCGAGCAGCGCCTTGGTCGTGGAGTACCTGGCGGCTCACCCCGCGGCGCTCTTCGGGGGCGGCGACGGGATGGAGCACTTCGACGAGATCGGGAAGCCCACGTGCGAGAAGCATGAGTGGCAGGCAGCGCGGCAGGAGCCCGAGACCATCGGGTTCGAGCTGAATGACGGGGAGGAGCACTTCAGCACGCTGCGGGGCGCCATGGGGGTGCCCAAGGACGACGAGGAGGACCCGAACAAGCTGGAGGCTCACGTGTCGGGTGACGGCGAGGGGGACGAGCGAGACGGCGGCGCGCTAGCGTCGTGCAAGGAGCCGCTGAGCATCATCGAGGAGCCCACGTGCGAGGAGCATGGGGGGCAGGCAGAGCAGCAGGAGCCCGAGGCCATCTGGTTCGAGCTGAACGACGGGGAGGATTACTTCAGCGCGCTGCGGGGCGCCGTGGGGGTGCCTTCCAAGAGCGACCAGGGGGGGGACTGCGACGGCGAGGAGTCGGTCCTGCCCCCGCTTGTTACGTCGTCGACATGGAAGCGGTGGCGGCAGCTGCCACGCGGCAGTACAACTGCGTCGAAGTGCTGTGGGCCATCGGCATGCAGAGGTGGGATGGTGACGCGGCTCATCAAGCGCTGATGGCGCGGCCGTCGAGTGCTGGCGACGCGGGCATCGAGCACTTCATCGGCAAGAAGACGGATGCAATTTGGGGTGTGGCTGCTGGGAAGCCCTGGGGATGAGGCCCACAGGCGCCGTGAGTGAGTGAGACAATCGCGGCGGGCGCGAGCGCTTCGGTTCCGACCTTCCTTGGAGAGCGGGATCGTCGCCATCATCCTCATCATCATCATCATCATCATCATCATCATCATCATCGCCATCATCAGCATCATCGCCATCATCATCCGCGTCATCATGAAAACCGTCACCACCACCATCATCGTCTCAAGTATCGCGGCTGTCCGCAACTTAGGGGATCCTTCACACGTCTCGTGGCCCCAGAGCGAGTTCCACCGAAGGCCCCAGGTGCACAGTTCGCATGCGTCCGCGAAATCCGCTTCGGCGAAACCCCACTTGCTTGGTGGCCCCATAGGGAGCTTCACCGAAGGCCCCAGCGGCAGCGACCGCGTGCGGCTCCAATTCCATTTTGGTGAGCTCGTCGCACGTCTCGTGGCCCCATAAAGAGTCCCACCGGAACGCGAGTCGCAGCGCCCGCATGCGGTTCCACCCTCTATTCCGGTGCACCCCCCGCACGCTTCGTGGTTTTATGGAGAGCTCCACCGAAAACCCCAATGGCAGCGCCCGCATGTGGCTCCGCCCCCAAATTCGTATCCCTCACACGCTGCGTGGCCCCATGGGAAGCTCCGCCGAAGGCCCCAGTGGCAGGGTTCGCGTGCGGTTCCACCCTCCAGTGCGGTACACCCTTCACACGCTTCGTGGCCCCATTGGGAGTTTCTCCGAGGGCCCCAGCGGCAACTCCCGCATGCGGTTCCACCCTCCATGTCGGCACACCCCTTACGCTCCGTGGCCCATTGGGAGCTCCACCGAAGGCCCCAATGGCAACGCCCGCATGCGGTTTCACCTTCGCTTTCGGCGCACACCTTACACGTTGAGTGGCCCCATATGGAACTCCGCTGAAGGCCCCAATGGCAGTACCCGCATTCGTTTCTATAATTAGTTCGGCGAACCGCTCACACGCTTCGTGGCCCCATATCGAATCCGCCGAAGGCCCCAGCGGCAGCGCACGCATGCGGTTCTACCTTCCATATCGGTGCACACCTAACACGTTGATGGCCCCATCGGGGGCTCCACCGATGGCGCTTGTGGCTCTTGTGGCAACACCCGCAAGCGGTTTCACCTTCTATTCCGGTGCACTTCGCGGCCCCGCAGGGTGCTCCACCTGAGGCCCTAGTGACAGCGCCCGCACGCGGTCCCACTCCGCATTTTAGCGCGCCCATTGCACGTTTCGTGGCCTACGCGGCACCACCGAAGGCCGCAGCGGCAGGGTCCACATGGCGGTGCCGCCGTATTCGGGCACACGGGCTCTCGTCGGCATGCCAGTTTTACAGGCCCGCCCACCTACCCCGTCCCCCCCCCCCCTCTCCCAGAATTCCCCCTCCCCTCCCCCCATCCCTTCCCTCCCCCTCCTCCCCCCCCCCCTCCCTCCCCCTCCCCCCCCGATTTCCCCTACTTCCCCCCCCCTCCCCCTCCCTCCCCCTCCTCCCTCCCCCCCTTCCCCCCCCCTCCCCCAATCTGACTCGGGCCGCACGCTGGCGCGTGATGCAGCGCGCGAGCGCGTCGCCCAGACAGGGCGCTCGCAGGGGCGCCGGCGCAGACCTGCGCGCGCGGCTCGCCGTTGGAGACTCACTCACTGGACAAATCCAGCGCGCGGGGCCGCAGACGGCAGCGACGTACCGTCGGGGCGCTGACGAAGGAGCGCTTTTCGTTGGGGAGGGGCTCGGTGTTCCTTGATTGTTTTACAGTTTGCCTCGGGTTTCCCTTCGGCTTTTGCATGGGAGATCGAAGTTTAACCTATGGAAAAGAGGGGCCTCGTTCCTTAGTTAGGGTTCCTTAGGTCAAGGCCCCGACTGTATGGGCACCAGGTTCTTGGCTGCTTTGGGTCCGTCATGTTGTCGCATCGGCGGCGTCTCGGCGCGGCAGCCGGCAGCAACCACCGAGGCCGATGCCGGACGACGCTCCTTGCGCTGCGGGGGTGGATCCAGGGCTGGCGTTGCCGAGGGCCTGCCATGCGTAGTGGTTCGCGACCTGGCTGGCCGAGCCCGGGCTGCGAAAGGCCATTACGCTGGCCTGGTCAAGGACGGTCAAGGCCCTACAGAGCCTCCCCGATGCCCTGCGCGCCAGGCACGTTCGAGGCCCCATGTCTCCTGTCATCCTGCATCTGCTGCAAGCTGGGTGGACCTCTATTCTGGCCACGGCGTGGCAGGTGCCGAGTGACGGGTCGGCGGACACTCGCACGTGGGAGTTCCACGAAGAGTCCTTCGTCGGTCTGGACCAGGCTCGGGCGACGAAATCTATACATATCCACTGCTCCCTGACCATGCCCATCTTGAACCCAGGAGCTGTGTATGCGCCCTCCTGGCCAAGCCAGGAGGGCGTGGCGTATACACCGCTGCGGGGTTGAGGATGGCCTGGCCAGGGAGCAGTGGATATGTATAGATTTCGTCGCCCTACAGTCGCAGCCGCTCCTGGACGAGATGGAGGCCACGACGTCGGCGCAGCAGTGGCGGCCGGCTGCTCCGCAGGTTTGTGGGAGCGGCCTCGAGCACTGCGCGGATCTTCAGTGCCTTCTGATGGGCGTGTTTTCCACCACCACCACCATGAGTTGGATGGGGGGGTCCTCCTCCTCCTCCTCCTCCTCCTCCTCCTCCTTCTCCCCCTCCTCCTCCTCCTCCTCCTCCTCCTCCTCCTCCTCCTCCTCTCCTCCTCCTCCTCTTCGTCCTCCTCCTCCTCGCCCTCCTCCTCCTCCTTCCCCCCTCCAACTTATGGTGGTGGTGGTGGAAAACAAGCTCATCACCTTCGGCACTACATCCTGTCTCTCCTAGACGTGACGAAAAGGCGTCAGCTGTCAGAGTTCATCGTCTCCATCGCAACGGGTGGCTTCTTGGACACGAAGCGGAAGTTCGAGGCACAGCTGACCGACAGCGACATCTGCCCACGATGTGGCGAGGGTGTCGACACGCCGATTCATCGATGTTGGCTTTGCCCGAAAAATTGTGAGTCCCCGCCTTTCGCAATCTGACGAGCTGGTCCCCGAGGCCGTAGCCGAGCAGGAAACGTTTCCAGCTTTTTGGATGCGGGGCATTATCCCAACCCCGTTGACCTCTTTCCAGCCTCCTTTTTGAGGTCTTCTTCGGGAACTCGCTTATTGGCGATCTTGTTGGTGAAGGTTGTCTTGGGCGTGGTACCCCCGAGAGCCCCGTAGTCATCTTTGGGGACGCTTCGGGGGCAAAGACACCCATGACAGTCGCCTTGGGCGCGTAGGGATCGCAGTGGCCTATGTTATAGGGTTCTCGCCGTGTCGTCTCGGGGCGCACATGTTCGGCCCCTTACCTGGCCCCTCTCAAACAGTCCCGCAAGGGGAGCTTCTAGCCTTCGAGTGGGCTTTGCGTTTCACTACTGGCCCCACAGTCTTTGTCACGGACCGCGCCGAGGTCACCAGGGGGTGGTATGAGCACGTTTGCTCTCGCCCCGTGGGGCCTCAGGCCGACGTCTGGCGCGAGATCCAGCAGCATGTGGTCAGCAGGGGGGAGTCTAAAACGACGCGAAGATCGGGCCAAAATCGGATCGGGATAACTCGAAATCTTTGAGAATCGGCGGGTTTGGAGGATGCATTGGGCGCCGCGGCCGCTCCAGAGCGTTCCGGAACGCTCTGAGAGCGCTCCGGAACGCTCTGGAGCGATTTATCCCGATCCTAGCCCTGTTTTAGAGTCCTCCATTACCGTTCTCCAGGTGCCCTCTCACTTGGCGGGGGCTGAAGTTGCGTCGCAGCGCTGGCCGTACTGGCTAGTGCAAGGGTATAGACACGTCGGCAGGCGAGGCGGCCGCTCGCGCGAGAGTTACATCGGCGTCGGGACCGCCCAAAACGGCCCCCCACACACACACACACACAAACACACACACACACACACACACACACACACACGCACGCACGCACGCACGCGCGCGCGCACGCGCGCACGCACGCACGCACGCACGCACGCACGCACGCACGCACCCACACATCCACACACCCACACACCCACGCACACGCACACGCACACGCACACGCACACAGCACACAGCACACAGCACACAGCACACGCACACGCACACGCACACGCACACGCACACGCACACGCACACGCACACGCACACGCACACGCACACGCACACGCCCACGCCCACGCCCACGCCCACGCCCACACCCACACACCCACACACCCACACACCCACACACCCACACACCCACACACCCACACACCCACACACCCACACACCCACACACCCACACACCCACACACCCACACACCCACACACCCACAAACCCACACACCCACACACCCACACACCCACACACCCACACACCCACACACCCACACACCCACACACCCACACACCCACACACCCACACACCCACACACCCACACACCCACACACCCACACACCCACACACCCACACACCCACACACCCACACACCCACACACCCACACACACCCACACACCCACACACCCACACACCCCACACACCCCACACACCCCACACACCCAACACACCCAACACACCCAACACACCCAACACACCCAACACACCCAACACACCCAACACACCCAACACACCCAACACACCCAACACACCCAACACACCCAACACACCCACACACCCCCACA